TTGTTATTATTGCCCAGGATTGCTTTAGCTATTTTGGACCTCTTCTGATTCTATATGAATTTTAGGATTGTTTTCTCTAGTTCTGTGAAGAAAACTGTTGGTATTTTGACTGGGTTACCTCTATCAGTTTTGAAAGTGTGACCATTTAGACAGTATTAATTCTGCCTATCAAGGAACAGGGTTTCTCTTTCCATTTCATGATTTCCTCTTTGATCTGCTTTTTCAGAGTACTGAGGTTTCATTATTAAGTGTTTCATTTCCTTTGTGTTACGGTTTGTGTCTGGATGTTCCCCCAAAGCCTCATGCAATCATGGGTGTGGGCTTCTAGAGCTTATGACTGATCCATAGTCTAGTGCTGGGATTATGGGTGTGAGTGCTATACCTGCCCTGGGGTGGGTAGTTTACATACACTGTAAGGGAGGAAAAGAGGCTTGCTCTTCCAGCTGCCACTCCTCCCTTTTGTTCTTGTTGCTTTTGCTATCTTTGGCTGCCATGGACTGTTGCCCTCTGCCATATGCCACTCTGCCTTAGAGCCAGCTGAGTATGGACTGAAAACATCCACAAACAGTAAGCTAAATAAATCCCTTTCTTCCTTAATTTTGGGCATTGGGTATTTTGTTTCAGCAAGAAAAGTAACCAGGTCACTTTGTTAGGTTAATTCCTAAATATTTCATTTTTATTGATGCTATTGTGTATGGTGTTTTCCTAATTTCTTGATGAGTTCATTATTGGTGTACAAGAACACTATTGTTTTTTCATTGATACCATATCCTGCTACCTTGCGGAATGTATTAATTCTTCAAGTCTTTTGGTAGAGTTTTTGTGTCTTCTATGTAAAGGATCATGTCATCTTTGAACAAGGATAGTTTGATTTCTTCCTTTCCTGTACATATCCCTTTTCTTTCTTTCTCTTGCCTGATTGCTTTGGCAAATGTTTTGAGTACCATACTGAACAGGAGTAGTGATAGAGGAAAATCTTTATTTTTTCCTATTATGTTGCCAGTAGGTTTTTCATAAGTGGCTTTTCTCAGATTGAGATAAGATCCTTCAATACTTCTTCAGGTTTTTTTTTTTTAATCATAAATGGATGTTGGATTTTGTCAAAGGCTTTCCTACATCTATTGGAATAATTATGTGATTTCTATCCTTTTGGTTATGTGGTATACTACATTTATTGATTTAGAGATGTTGAACTATCCTTGCATCCCTGAGATGAAGACTACTTGGTCATGATATATGATCTTTTTCATGATCTGTTAAGATTCTGTTGGCCACTATCTTACTGAGAATTTTTGAGTCTAGGTTCATTTAAAAGGTTGACCTGTACTTTTCTTTTTAAATTGGGTCCTTGTCTAGTTTTGGAATCAGGGTAATACTAGCTTCCAGGAATAAATTCAGAAGTACTCCTTGCCTTTTAATTTCATTAAAGAGTTTGAAAAATATTGGCATTATATCCTCCCTGAAGTTAATGTAGAATTCAATGGTCTGAGGAGTGTGGTGGTACAGACCTGTAATTCCAGCACTTGAGAGGCTGAGGCAGGAAGACTGCTGCAAGTTTGAAGCTAGCCTGGACTACAAAGTGAGTTCAGGGCCAGCCTGAACTGCATAGCAAGACTTGGTCTCAAA